TGCCGCTGGGGAAGTCAGAAATGGAGAAGGATTTGGGGGTCATTGTAGACCACAAACTGAAAGGTAGTTTGCAGTGACAGGCTGCTGTAAACAAAGCTAGCAGGGTCTTGTCCTGTATTAAAAAGGGGATGTATTGCAGGGACAAGTCTATAATTTTGCCACTTTATAGATCATTGGTTCGACCTCATCTGGAGTACGCGGTCCAGTTCTGGTCACCAGTACTAAGAAAAGATGTCCTTGAGTTGGAAAAAGTCCAGCGAAGGGCAACCAAACTAATTAGGGGTATGGAGGACCAGAGCTACGAGACGAGGCTACTAAATTTAAACATGTTCACATTAGAGGTGAGGAGATTAAGGGGGGATATGATTTCCATGTACAAAATGTTTAATGGTGGCAGCAACATTAGCGATAAACTGTTTAAAATTAACTCCGTTACAAAAACTAGAGGCCATCACCTAAAATTGATGGAAAAAAAATTCCAGCACAAGGGGCGAAGGGGGTTCTTCACAGTAAGATCAGTTAGGGTCTGGAACTCACTGCCACAGGCGGTGATTTCAGCAAATAATGTGGAATTGTTCAAGAAACTTTTGGACGATTTCTTAAGGGACCGTAATATACAGGGGTACGGGTACTCCTAGCATGAGATCCTAATAGGTTGGACTTGATGGACTAATGTCTTTATTCAACCTCAAATACTATGTAACTATGTAACTATGTAAGTTAAAAGGACACTAAACTCAGGAGTTCAATCTTAAAAATGCAACAAAAATTTAGCTTATTTGAGTATCACTCAATCGTTCCGCATTGTATATGTATGCGTTGTAAAGTAGCCACCACTCCAGGCTTGATCCCGTGAGACTACAATCTCATTGCAAATGATTAAACTAAACATGAGATTGTAGTCCATCACGGGATTGAGCTTGGAGCAGTGGCTACTTTACAACACACACAGGGACCAAGGGGAACAAAAGTAGCCACCCTCCAGAAGGAAGGACAGTGCCAGCAGGAACTCAAAGATGATTTGACGATCTACAGTGAGTGACGCACAAATCAGATACATTTTTGTTAATAGTTAAGGTACTAAGTTAAGGTACTTGAACACATTTTTAAGGTCTAACTACCAAATATAGTGTCACTTTCAATTAGCTGGAAATTCCTTTTCAAAGAATCACACACGAGGGCAATCTTAACCAGAGAGGGGATCACTCTACTCCATTTGAGCTAAATTTTGATATACAGCCCCACCTCAATGTGCCTTAAAAGAAAACAGTAATATCTTTTTTGGCTTTAGTCCTATTTTGGGTCAATGGAGTACTATGACCCAAAACCAGCTCTGCAGCCGGGAGATATTCCAACAATATCATTGGGATCCACCCCACTGCCTGAATGACAGATGGACAGCTGGCTCTGCCAGCTGTGTACTCCCCTCCCTGTCTGTCCCCCCCCCCTGTCTGTCCCTCCAATGAGTGCTAGAGGAACAGAGAGCGGGGGGGGGGGAATCCCTGCGGGCAGTCATCGCTCTCTGCAGGGAGAAGACTGTGAGCTGAGCGATCAGTGGTTTGTGATCAGTCAGCTCTTGATTTATAGAAGCAGCATGTGACAGCAGGAGTGTCACATGCTGGCTCTAAACATTGGGAGGAGTAAATTTACTCTCCCAATACTTCTCCTTTAACATCAGGACCTTCCCTAGTGTTAGCACCCAGGGTACCCATAAGCTTTAGACTACACTTATATCCAGCCCATTTTTGTCTCTTATTAGCCAGTGAAGTCGCTCATTGCAGTAATGAGCCATGGTGAGGCTTAGAAAATGTAAAGGGGTGGGGCCAGGCTTCCAAACCATCAATGCATGATGTTTATTTTATAAGTACATGAAAATTTAGTTTGACTTTATCCCACACAAACATTTAGCAAAGTATTCCCATCACTTCATAATTTTGTGTTAAAAAGAAGCAAATCAAGAGGTTTCGTAAAGTCAGGTGATAGCTACCATTTAAAAAAAAAATAAAATAATAATAATAATAATAATAATAATAATAATAATAATAATAATGGGAAAAGTGAACCACAGCTATTCAAACAGGGACTGGGTGCATGTTTACAACAGTCATTGTTCAATAAACAAACGTTGAAGGGAATAAACACTTATCTGAAAAAAAAAAACATTTAGATGTGACATTCAGGCCCCATTTACACCTTAGCTTGAGGGCAGTCAGGCGATTTAGAGGCTTTTTTGTGCATTTGTAAGTTTGTATTTATGCACTACTTGTAGTACAAGAGCAGAATAGTGCATTTTTGGCCCCAAAGACTTTGAAATAAAATTCCCGGTTAAAGAATTGAATACTGTTTGTGAGTACTGGTAAAAATTTTAAGCATAGGCATGTCAGCCTTAGTATCAGCTCAGCATTGGCCAAACTGCATTAGAAAAAAAGGAAACACAAACAAGACATGTCAGCTTAGCATACTTATCACTTTATTAATAATATAATAAAAAGCTTAACTGCACTTACAACCTGAAAGTGAATGGTGCTTATCAGCAGAACCTGAACGGTAAAACTCTGATGACGTATGCTGCAATGTATGCTGCCAAGAAAAGTTCACTATGTGCTTCCTAAAGAGGAAGTAAACCATGAAAATGTACAGAATTAAGTAGATGTGAGGAGCTCAGCCCTCTCAATGCTGGAGGTAGTATGGAAGTATGCTGTGCATATTTGCACATTATGGCAAATGTTGGCCGCCCCCACCACCCTTTACTTCCACTTTTAAATGGCTGCATGGCCTACTGCATGTCTCACTGGGCAATAGTGTCCAACCAAGTATACTCTTGGCTTTCTGCGGCACAGAGAATGGTGAGCTGGGAGTGAACAAAAATATAAAAGAATCCCATGATGGACTACAATCTCATGTTTAGTTTGCGAACTTGTATTGAGATTGTAGTCCAATCTACTTAACAAACACACACAGGGACCATGGGGACAAATGTAGTCAGCCTCCAGAAGGAAGGACAGTGTCAGCACCAATTCAGAGATGATTTGATGCTCTACAGAAGAGTGATACACAAATAAGATACATTTTTGTTAATAGTTAAGCTACTGGAATGCATTTTTAACTCCCGAGTTTAGTGTCACTTTAAACACTTGAACCAGAAAATACTTTTAAGAGAGAAATGATATCATAAGTAACCTGCAGATAATGGTGTCTGGAATCTCCAGAATCTAGCAGGTTGGACTGGTAAAAAAGGTACAATGATATTTTAAGAGGAAACAAAATTGCTGCACCAGTACCTCCAGTTCATCCTCAGATGCCGTAGCCAATATCTTTTCCAGGTCGACCTTCATGGCCTCCTCCAATTCATGTCTGATGGCTTCTTGGAACTGCGACATCCCTCCAGACATTGCCTTACTTAAATCTAAAACACAAAATGGAAATGGAATAAGCTTGTTACCACAACATTCATATTTAACTTTGGGCAGTTTGCTAAAATTGCTGTTTGCATGGTTTGCTTTTTTTTGCTATGAAAAGCTGTCACAGGCAATCAACAGTGGGTGAATATCTGTATTTGAGTGAAGAAATAAAAACAGAACACTTTCTGGCTTTTTTTTTAAATCCCAGTCAAAACGTCCATTTAAAGCTGTATTGTGGGTGCTGCTGAAAAAAGGTCTTAAGTTGGGTATACATGGTGCTATTTTTTTCAACCCACAGGCTGAACAAAAAAAAATAGAACAGATTCATTCATCAACGCTTACGAACGTTGATCATCTATCAGAATACCCAAACGGAGCTGGCAGCTGATTGGCTGTTACATTTGTTTGGCCAAGAATTTTCCGATTGCTTCTTCAATCAGCTGGTCAATGTATAACGAGTGGAAGGGTGCTTAGAGTGGCATGCACGCAGCGAATTTCCGCCAGTTCATCAAGAACCGTCTGAAATTCCAAGCGTGTATAGCCTACTTGACTGTCATCCTACACTTCTATACCCAACCACCACCACTAATTAGCCATAGGCCGACAGCAAAGGGTCATCTGTCCATCATGTAAAAAAAAAAGCAGCAAAATAGACGCTGAATCCTGAAATGCGTACAAAAACACAAAACAATGCCTATATTAAAAGGCTGGAGGTAAGTCTATGTAGGATGTACATTGTTTCTTTAAGTTTTTGCCCAAGCACTTACTGTCATGTTTCCAAACAGCTGCTCTAACTCCCTCAGCAAAAAAATAAATTCACTGCCCATAGCAAACAAACCAAATGTTATCTACAGTCAATAGGCAATTGAAACAAAAGGTATCTAATCTGTGTATAAGATCTATATTTGTGCCATTTGTTGGCTTCCAGCATTCATACAATAGGGCTTCATGTCAATTGTTCACACTGCCAATGGCCTATTTCTATTCATCTACAACTTAGATATACAGTCCATCTAACTGTGCTACTACAGCATTTCATTTCTTTTGGCTTCTGTACAGCCAAGTAGCAAAGTGTCATCTCAGTGATTGGGGGCAGTATGTGGCAGGGTATGCATGTGCTATCTATATACAACAAGAGGGATTTAGCAAAACCAGAGCAGAGAAAATCTGGAGCATTTTTTTGCACATTCTGGTGCAGGTACTTTTTTTTCTGAGCATAAAATGGGATTTCAGGTGCAGTTCAGTACATTCCAATGCGTTTGCATGCATTTTATGCATTTCCATGCGTTCCAGACCAGAGAAAAAGAGACAAGCAGTATTTTTTTCACCTGGGCCGGAATGGACTGCGCTGGTGTGAAAAGAGCCCAGAAATACAATGGGGATACATCTGGATGCTTTTTTGGTCCGGGAACAAACTGTTCTGGTCTGGACATGATCCCGACATGGTGTGAACATGCCTTCAGAGATATACGACCCTTACAATACTTGAGTGCTACCTATGACATTTAAGTAGAAAAGTACCACCACAATATTTACAGAACACGAGTACCACCTGTGATATTTACTTAGAGATGTACCAACCAGAACCTCTACAACCTTTAGAAATGTCTTTATAGTGTTTCAGCACCACTTATGAAGCCCAACTAGAGATGTACTACTACCGCAGGCTTTGCAGTTTTCAAGCATCACTCAACTGTAGATGTACAGCTACTACAACCTTTACAGTGCTTAAGCACCCCCTGTGTCCACTGGTCTAGAGAATCAGTGCATAGTCCTCCCCTGAATACTGGCTTGAGCCAATAAAGAAGGTGCATCTGATGACACAAGGCATCAAAGGGACTTGAAACTTTAGGAGAATGTATTGTGCATAAATATTGATCATCATGGGAGAACCATGTGTATGTCAATTTGTCATGTGACATCACCTAGTCCTAGGTGCTTCTCCCATCCAAAAATATTAATAACTTTCAGTTCATGTAAAACATGACTGACAGATTCATTTATCAAGATTTTCTACTTTATATACAGCTCTAGATATTAGCAACAGAACTCATTAAAAAGCTCCTTTAACTATCGGGTCTGTCTGATTCCTTGAAGGTTCAAAGACCAGAAATATATTTAACCATCTAGCTTACTTCTGACCATTTAAAAAATAATAAAATAATTGTTCAAGTCGTCTATACACTACATGCTCCAAGTGAAAATGCCTACTCTGTAAAGTGATGGTTAGTAGGAAGTGCCTGCCTAGGTTGGCTTACAGAAGGGAGAAAACTTGGGGTGGCCATCGCCAGAATAAAGATATACAGTATATCCTAACAGCCCAAAAAGCAGGCAAGGGGTTGGAGAAGGACAAAGTCTGCAGAAAAGTACAACACTGGGTGAGGGTGGGTGAGTCACAGGAATATGTGCGTCAATGTTTCAGCAGAAAAAAACACTTTCCTATACATAGTTTATGTTTCAGCTGGGATTTTAGCTGTTTGGTGTGCAGCGGCATTTTTCCATTGCCAATTACAGAAATTCTAAAACAATGGAAGGACCTTGGCCCTTTAGATTTAGGTTGACTGCATAGATATAGATGAAAATGTTGTACGCTCCACAGAGCCAGAAGAGGCTTACCATTGTTACACAGTTCGTACTGAACTGAAGTTCCTGGCAATATAGCTAACTTGTCAATCTAGCAAGCAGTTAAAAGTCTGTATTAGTTTGTTTGGTCCCTGTGGACACTGACAAGGTGAGCGCATTAAGCACACAAGTGTCAGACGCAGTGACAAGGAAATTACTTGTTTGGTGAAGTGGAAGCAGGTAGCAGGCTTTCTTTTTCAGATTGATGTTTAAATTAGAATTACATGGACCACAATCACAGCAGCAAAACCAATCAAGCCCAGTACTTACGTGTAAAGGTATCCATACACGCAGGAGGGGATCGTTCCATATGGATGATACCAATTATTTCAGACAGCTACCAGACTTTATGTGCAGGGTTAGATGCAGTGGCCAGAAACAGAGAGGTAACAAGTATCTTCAATAGGAGTTCAGCAGTGGCAGCTCTGTTCTCTCAATATAGGTTTGCTTTAAATGCATTGGTATACAATCATATATTTGATAAAAGGTGCAGGAAGGCAGCGGGACTGGATTGCAGTACATCAATTTGTTATGAGAATGGCAAGTTACATAGGTTGAAAAAAGACAAGTCCATCAAGTTCAACCAACAGAAAAGATGGTGCTGTTTCATGTGGAGTCACAAGGGTGAGGAAAGGACAAAAGTGACATTGAACTGGAAAGGTTCATAGCAGAACCACAAACGTACATGTTCAGTATAGTCAGTGCCTCTTCCCCTGACACATGCCTGAACGCCATCGGCTATGTCAACATGAGCGCCCTCCCTTTCTCCAACATTTATTTGCACTAAAAAACTATTACCACTTCAGCTTGTTCTACTACTTCTAAAATCCGGGACCAGATCTGACTTCTCAAATATTACTCAGGACACCGGTTATGACTCGGCACTGAAGATTATAACACACACACACACACATCAGTGCTCTTTATTGTATGATACACTTACAAATGAAGTGGAAGCCAGGATAGCCACAACCAAAATTGAAAAATGGGCTTATGATTTCATTGGAAATGCGGTTTTAAGGCAAGCAATAGCGAACTAAAAGGGTAATCATTTAGTATCTTTATATACCTCAACAGATATACTGAGGTGCCCTGCTTCATACACAATCTAGGATTTCATAAAAATAGAAGAAGTACAATATCTAACTTTCATTTGCAGTGAAATCTTTTGATAAAAACTAGTACAGTGGGTGACCATAAATGCATTTCAAAGGAAACCATTATATTTTATTTGCTGGACTTCTGCAAACAGGACAGGATCCCGGTACAAGGGGGTTGCAAGTACTGAAGATCCCTTAATGTTACAACTGGGAGGGATCTCAAGAACCACGCATTTCTATTTTTCATACCCAGCACAATCTATATGTTGTACATAACATTGTCTTAAAATATATATACTGCGGATGACACTTTGGGGAAAAAACATGCATAGGAGGGTAATTACATTTAATTTAAAATAGTGAAATGTAAATTCCTAGTTATTATTCAACTGAGTTACAAATAAAAAAGACACTATTCAAAAATAGGTATTCAAAATAGAAAAAAGGATGTTAGGCTTTCAGAATGGCCAATCTCTAATAAAAAATGGATTTTATTTAGACATACCCTTCAGCCTTTCCCATTTCTAGATCAAAAAATTAGGACAATCTGAAGAAACCCAGGAGTGATTTGGCAGTACAGGTGTATAGCTCCCTTCCTTAGCAACATATAAAATGCATTTCCTTTCACCTATAGGAACACTTAAATATAAAAAAAGTCTCATCTTCAAATATAGTAACAGATTAATTTAAGCTTTTTATTCTTCCAGACCCTGTGATGTATTGCGTGTGGCTCTCCTGGATTCCTGGCCACAAGAAAGGGATGAAGGACATTCTAAGTCACACTTGCTTAGCTAAAACATGTCCCCGTTAAGTGCCAATCACCACCCTACCACATTACAATTCTGCCATGAGCTGCACCACAGAGGTGCTTTAGTGACCCCACACAAAGCAACCATGGAGTTTCACAAGTGATGAGGAATTACAGAAGAGACTCGCTGTGCTTTCCCTTGGCTTAGCAATGATGTTTTAACTTTTCAATCTAGCCATTGGCAACAGGGAAATAATATGCCTGGGGACCAGCTGGGAGGCAAGTAGGGTTTCTATATCTAACAAATCCCCTGAGGTAGAAGCTTCAATATGTACATTCCAGACCTGCACTCAGCAGCCAACATATGCTTCCCATACAACATTCACTCTCTCCTGAAAATATTTAATACATTATAAATGCCCCACAAAAAAATTTGACTGATCAGAAACTAAAAGTTATTATTATTATTCTGTATTGTACCAAACATTTAAGTGTACCAGTTAACCTGGCCGTATTTAGCTTTAGGGCCAGTAGT